TATGTTGTATCTGCTGCCCAACTATGTCCAACTAGGAATTCAAATTATAAACCAAAATAAAAAAAAATAAAAACTAGGCAAGATTTTTATTAAACTCTTAGATGTAATTACATTGACTATGTTTTTGTAAAGCTGTCATATGCACCTCAGATTTACAATAATTAATCAGCTCCAAAACACTTCAACTCTTTCGACTGAACTGTTTCGAGCCAACCAGGCAAACACGGCGCGATCTCCTTCTAAGCCCCTTCCCAAAGTGGGTCTGGAGCTGTATCCTGTCTCCTCGATTTCAGCTCACTGTGACTGACAGGTGGATTAACCAATCAGAGTAATGCAAAAATAAACATGGTTTAAAAAAGCAAGAAGAAATAACACAGAGAACTGAGAAACAGCAAAGGATTTCTGCAGAATCACCAATTGAAGTGCTAAACTTGTATTGATTTTAGGTAAAAGAAGTTATATATTTTGTTCTGAGAATTTTCTAGAGATGTCTTCTGCATTTTAGAGACACATGATACAAAAAAGAAATAAAAAATAACAGAGAACTGAGAAACAGCAAAGGATTTCTGCAGTCACCAACTGAAGCACTAAACTCGTGTTTATTTTAAGTAAAAGAAGTTATATATTTTGTTCTGAGAATGTTCTAGCAATGTCTTCTGCATTTGAGAGACACATGATACAAATACGCAGCTGTGGTTGGACTGAGGTTTTACACCCTCTATGGCCCTTCTGCATTCAAACTGAAAGAAAGAGACTAGCTGATTGAAGAACCATTATGCACCATTACCAAGTGTTTTGAAAAACTCATTCTAACCCACATCAGAGCTGCTGTCCCTGCTCATGCTGATCAACATGCATTTTCATTTGCTTATACAACTCAACACAACATACAGTGGTCACATCATTCTACCTCCTCACCACATGAACTGGTCTATAAACTCCACTAATACACTACACTACGAACTACACTAAACTAAATTAAACTGAACTAATGCTAGGATAAATAACTAGGTCAGGAGTCTCCAACGTTTTTCCTCTGGTGAGCTACCCTTACAAAATGAAAATGCCAGAGAGCTACTGATTTAGAAAAAATTAAAGACATTTAAAGAGTAAATATAAGAGCCTTAGATCAAGTACAGTTGCCTATAAAACATTTACACAACTGTTATATTTATTAGTGTACAAAGACAGGCATCAGATACATTTACAGTGTTAACATGCATTTAATCAAATCAAATTTTAGCTTTCAGAGCAATACATATGATTCAGAAAGTGGTAGTGGTAGCTACAGGTTGGAGACCCCTGAACTAGGCTCAGCTATTTTGTATAATCACTTCTATAGTTCATTTTTGTATCGAGGTCATTTGAAGATAAGACCTCTGATCACAGCTGGGAGACATAGATACATGTCAAGACAAATGCAGGATATTCCAATCTATGTAACTAAATAGGACAAGAATTACTGATAGGAATGATGTCATGATTTGTTAGCCAGATAACACCCCGGATGGAGTCTGATTGGAATGTGCAATGTGCCAAGACGCCTGGCTGGTCCATGCACCAACCAAGAGGTGCTAAGTCTAAACCACAATATCCCCCCACTATAGTTTGCGTATAAAAGTCATTGTATAGGTGTAAACATTGAGTCTCTGCATGGGAATGTCGGCACAGACTCCTTGTGCAAGTATGACTTTCTAATATTGGAATAAGTAAATTATGTGGACTTTATTTCTGTTTCAAGTGTATTTTTATCTAACCAGAAATTAACAGGAAAGGAAAAGGTTGTTTTCCTCAACACTAACTATAAAAACAACAACAACAACAACAAAAACAAAACACCAAACTAAACTAAACTGACTTGAAAGAAGTTCATTTTTCAACATTATATCCAAATTAAAGTTATTTTTAACAGACCAGTGTTTTGTTTACACCTACCATAGACACAAGAACTCAAGGAAACAGAATAGAAACTGGGAGTCATGCTAACTTCGCATGATGCAGTATCCATATTCTCAAAAACACCAACAGACGTCACATTACATGTTGTAGAGAACTGTCTAAGGAAAGACAGAACCCTGAAAAAACAGACAAAACTAAACAAAAAAACAAAACAAAAAATAAATAAATAAATAAATAAAAAAACAGTGGAGGACATGACAGTGGCTATGGTTCAACATACTCTCAATACAAGGACAGGATTTACTGCCAGAAGGAGGCAGTAATAGCCAGGCTGGTGCCATCTAGTGCCTCTGCTCAATTTCATTTCTCTCCAGCAACTAGGTCAGGAATCAGAATACACTAGACCAGGGGTGTCAAACAAATTTTGGTCCGGGGGCCGTATCCAACCTACTTTGATCCCAAAGGGGCCGGATCAGAAAACTCATGGCATATATACCCAAAAATAGCAATAAGTTCAAATATTTGTGCAGAGAAACACAAATCTATTACAGAAATATTTTTTAATTGATGAACTCTTTCTTTTACAAAATATTCTAATATCATGAACAACCTGAAACTTTAAGAAAAATGCAATTTCAACACAATATTTTAACAATAACTTGTATGCAAATAGGAATAAGTCAATTTTTCTTGGAAAATCCTGCAATTGGCGTCCACTTTTCTCATTTTTGACATTTTGCTGATGAGGGTGTCAAGGTCAACAGTCAAAACGATCGTCCTTTAAGAGCGTTTGGAAAGAGACAAGTCTTCATTTGTGCTGCTCTGGTGGGAGGGGTCACGCACAGAGACGCTGGAGACGCTGCTACGCTAAGCAACGCGAAAATTACTAATATTTTAATAGAAAATATAATTAAAATATTTTTGTAGAAAATCAGCCGAGGGCCAGATTAAAGGTCTTGGAGGGCCGGATCCGGCCCCCGGGCCTTATGTTTGACACCTGTACACTAGACGGTTTGAAGAACCCCGGAAGTTGTAGACTGTGCACTGGCCAATCAGCGAAGAGCTGTGAAGCCATTACTGGGTCCCTTTTGTGGAACAGCACAACAGTAAACAAAGTGGCCAAGATGGATGTAGACAAAGCCATACATTCTGTGTTGGCAACGATTCCCAAGATCGAAGATTTAAAGCTGGAAAAAAAAGAGTTTGGTGAATTTTATCAAGGGGAAAGACGTTATTGCCCTTCTTCCTACGGGATTTGTGAAAAGCTTAATATACCAGTTAGCCCCATTAGTGGTGCATTACATACGTCACAACCAAATAGCAGCGACTGGTTAAATAAAAAAGTACCCGCCTACCACTGAGTGAAAGAATCCTAATGCTGCAAGGTCAAATGGTTTCCGTGAAGTGAAATCGGCTGATGAATTAGGCTAGGGCAGTAGGCGAATGTCACCATAATCGATATAACTCAGCTGCACAAACACGTCACTGTAACATCACGTAACCCGTCTGAAGAAGGACGCAAAGGGCATCCAAAACATGTCAAGTTATGTGTAAATAAAATGCTGTTCTGTCAAAAAGAACCTTTATTTGGATAAACTGAACTGAAATTAACTAAACAGTTTCTATTCGCAAGTTGTCAAACCTCACACTTTGACCACTCAGGTGTTATTGCACCATTGGTCATCGCTCTGACATATTATTGCTACATGACCAGGGAGTTGCTGAACTACATTTTACTGCTTTTTATTTTAATAATTTATTTAAGTCATAAAATATCATCAAGGCGTCAAATGTGTCAGGAAGTTAATCACAAATAAAAAGGAACAGACAGAAGAACAATGTGATGCTTCCCCTCTCCAGACAATGACTTTACCACTGAGAGTTACTTAAAGGTCCTGTATTACACAAAGTGGATTCTTGTGACCTTTAACCATGTTGAAATTATGTCAAACCTAAAAAACATGCACCAGGGACTACAGGTGGAAATGAGCTCTAAGTGCTACAACCTGGCACAATGCGTCTCTTATAAACTAAATAAATAAATGTTACCTCCTCAAAAACATACCTGGAGTTATGCTTTCTTCACATGTTTGATTAACCCTTTATTATTAGACTTAATGCCCAAGCTTAAAATGCTCTGTTCCACCTTGTGATGTCTTAAAGTGGTAGTTTTTAAGTTAACAGCGACTTTTTACATTTAGTTCAATAGAGATTGGTACAGAAACCAGGAGGGCTCATAACAAACGCAAATTCCGTAACAAATACAAACGCCACAACACAAATGCAAATGCCACAACACAACAAAAAGCTACAACAAACCAAAAAAAAAACAAACCACAACACACCCAAAAAAAGTCACAACGGAAGGGACCACGGGACTCTATTTTAATGGAAATGCCACAACAAATGCAAACGCCACAACACAAGAAAAAGCCACAACGGAAGTGACCGTGGGATTCCATTTTCCGACGGACCAAGTGACGGTCAGACTACCATTCCTTTACTTTTCACATTCTTGTTCTTCCTCAACTTTTCCCATTCACTTCCCGCTTGATCCCTTAACACTTCGCTTGGTCCGTTGGAAAACAGAGTCCTGTGGTCACTTCCGTTGCGGCTTTTTGGTTTGTTGTGGTGTTTGCGTTTGTGTTGTGGCAATTGCATTAAAATAGAGTCCCGCGATCTCTTCCACTGTGACTTTTTTGGTTTCTTGTGACTTTTTGTTGTGTTGCCACGTTTGTATTCGTTGCTGTGTTTGTGTTTGTTATGAGCCCTCCCGGTTTCCCTAGATTGGCAATTCCAGAGCTGAAATTATCCAAATGATTCTAGTGAAGGTGTATGGAGTTTAAAAACACAGTGAAGCACTTCCTGTATTACCACACGATGTCACAAAGTGGAGAAGAGCATTTTCTGTCTGAGAAAAGAACTCAGCCTAAACGTGAGAAAACACATAAACCAGATCAGAAAATAGTGTATTATGAGCCCTTTAATAACAAATTTAGTCATACACTTTTTTTTTTTCATTTTGACCCGACAATGACAATGACACGTACACTCTATTCAATTCAAAATTTACCTCATGTTTACCTTTTGTTTTGTTCCAGGAGGAGGACTCTATAGACAAAGTCACCTACACTGAAGTGGACTTTCCCAACAGCAAAAATATGTCAGAAAACGACGCTCCCCAGAGACAGGCTGAGGCAGTGCTGTACTCTGTAGTTCAGGTCCAAAATGAGGATTCCCTTTACTCCACAGTTTCTCGACCAGAGCATTAATACTGGTGGTACTTCTCACTGTAGATATCTCAAGTTAGCTGCACAAGAAAATGTTTATAATTATTTATATTTTTAAGATTGACATATTTTCCGGGCTATAGGGAACGCCATTAAGCCTCCAACCCCATCAAAAAAAGACTGCGCTCCCCACAATCCAGAGCGCCCTATACACGAATCCGCTTGGGTGTCCCAGCACGACTTCGGTAAACTACAAAGCCGCACCACCCACAGCGCACACAAACACACAAACACACCCGCAGCCACACTCATCACTCCACACTGATGAGGAACGGAATGGAGGAACGAACCGAAAAAGTGAGTGGAATGTGCCACTCTGAGCCACAACTGAATAACTGAGTCACTGCGAACACGCCGACAATCCAGCGGTCCCAGACAGCGCCCTCCCTACATGCCACAACTGAACAAAACCCAGAGTCACCGTGAACGCGCCAAACAAAGTCCCACTGACCCATCCAGCTGTTGTGTTTCGTTTAAAGTCCGGTGCGGTTTATTTGTGAAAAAAGTTTGAAAATAGACCATTTAATATTTAATCCAGATCGCCTAATAGCCCGGAAAATATGGTACATATCTGATATTGAATGGTTTTAATAGTGTTCACCATGGCAGCACGTTATGTAACTTATATTGTTTTATATAGTTTATTAGCACCTTAAAATTATGCTTTTTGTCATTTTTACCCAGGTTCATGGTTTAATTTTCATTCTATAAGAGCGTTAATAATAACCAGCCACACCACTTCCTCTCGGGTTGACGGAAAGGGGGTTTGGACGCACAACACCGGCCCACTTCCTCTGTGTAAATCCCTCGAGTCTAATCTGTTGGGGGATGTCATATCCTGTGTGCGAGAGGCTTTTGTGGTTTTTAGCAGAGGCGACTGTAGTTGGCAGTAGCTGTGTGCTCTGGAAATCAGGCTCTGTTGTATTTTGCTTCTGTGAAATGAACAGTACGATGTGCGTTTCTGCTACACAAAGTTCTTCGAATACCATAAGTTTACTTTAGTTTTGCTCTGTCCCCTCAACACACTCAGTCCCCTATGTTCACATTCAGTTTAATTTACCCTAACATAAAAAAAAAAAAAAAAAAAATTACAACAATAAAAAAGAAGAAAAAAACATGGACAGACATAGTGAAGATACTAAAGACTGATGTGTTGTGACTGTTTTTCATTTACTTAAACATTTAAACGTGCTGCTATTCTATTCATTCATTGTAATAACACATCTTTATGTCACTAATTGGCATGTGAAGTTATCCTGATCGGTGATTTTGGGAAACTTATTTTTCCTAATGTCGGAGGCTTGGGGCCAAAATTTACAACAGGGCTTAAGAGGCCATCTTTCTGCACGTGTCTGAGACTTCAGGCCACAGTTAAATGCAGGAGAAATGTCTCATCTGGTCAAGAGGGATTACATGTCCATGTGATTTTAGCACCGCTTCAGTTTGTTAAAAGTAGCTTTCCATTTGTATCATTAATGCCTGGAATATAAACACCACCCAACAATAACACAATCAGACATGCAAACTTGTCGCTAATCGGCTTTTTCTTGGTCATTTGGGTCATTCACGTGAATCGCATTGAACCACAGCGGGTTTTTTTGGAGGGGGGCATTGCTCTAGTTTGGAATTAAATTATTTTCGAGTTTCTGAATTAAGGATTACATGGAACACATGTTAAACTGGCTTCTGCTCAACGTCTGAGGGTGGAGAAGAGTTCTGATTGGACAGGGACACGAACGTATTTATGTCGACCGGACCGGATTCATTAGTGAATAATACAAGTGCAATCTGAAAACGTATAAAATCAGTGCCAGAGAACAACCAATCCCTTTATTCCGAGTCTCCATGCTTTACTTGAAATAATTTTCCAAGACTTTAACAGAGCAGTCTTTTTTTTTTTTTTTTTTGTTGTACTCTGGTGATGACTGAAATACAAGCATAACAAGACACCAAGGCAAAGACAATAATTATGTTCACATATAAACATACATTGTGTCATTGCATTGTATATTTAGACACAGGCCTAGAGATCATCATATAGAGAACTCAAATTACATAGAAAAAATTGTAGTAAACGCTTAATGGTAGTCAGATTGTTTTTCTTGTTGGGTACAGGCCCTTTATGTCACATTTTTAAAACAAAGGTGTTTTTTTTTCATGTTTTAGGACAATAAAAATGCTTTAAAGAAAAAAAAAGTCTACAATTTCACTTTGAGACAGCAGATTTTGTCTGTTTTACAAGGGCTGCTATGTCAAGAAGATAACCTGTTTTTCTCATTGGCTGAGGACACAAACAGGGGTCATCTGCATGTCACATTTACATCTGATTTGGTGTTATTTCTGGGAAATGTTTTCCTGGACAAAACCTTCTCAAACAAATCAGATGTAAATCTTAGCCACAAGCCTCACTTCGAGGCTTTAGCCACGGAAATCTTAATGACACCAGCTCACAGTTCACATTCGTCCACCAACCTAAGGGTCAGTAGTTTAAACCCCACACAGACCAGTGCATAATTTGGAGCAAAACATTTCATCCATTTTATCTGTGCAGGAATGTGGTGCACGAGTCAGTGGCGATGGTCAGAGTTGCTGGTGTTTATGCCAACGCAGCTCTGGCAACAGAATTATCTAAACACTACAGATTTTGCAAAGTGAATGAAACATATATTTAAGTAACCCTTTCCATGTATTTTATTGTAAGTGAGCTTTACATTAAGTATTTGAATAGGTAAAAAGGCTCTCATTTGAATGCTATCTTTGCATAAATCTTACTTTTCTCACTTAATTAACTCAGCTGCCTTAGTTGAACTTGTGACTCCCTCAAAAAACACTCACGGTTCTTCAACATCAAGTGAACAACAAGATCTCTGATGATGGAGAGTAACGGACTCTGGGCAATTGTGCTCTGTGGTAGGTAGCTAGTTTTTTGGTTTTTATTTAATCCATTGGCTTTGAGATAATGTGCCTTAGGTTTGATTAAAATATATGAAACATTTATAGGGCTATTATTTTCACTCCTTTAATATAATGATCATATTTGTTTAACTCTGCATCAACATAATTCAACTCTCGCACTTCAATAAATATATGCAGATATTTTTTTCTTTTCAAAAATTGCTCTGAGAGTTCACTTTGTTTGAATAACTGTGAATGTACAAATGAGCTCTAATCCAGACCAAAAAAGCAAAGTCTGGTCTGGATGAAAACATGTCAGATTTAATCATATTAATTTGGGTATTTTTTTCCTACTTTGATACAATATTCAATATTTGAAGGCCGTCAGTCTGTGCCATCGACCCTGAGTGGGAATTGATCCTCCTCCACTTTTACTAAACCTTAACTTGTACACTTTACGGTCAGTGCCATTGTTTCTGTGATATTGTTGTATGTGTTACTGGCCTTCACTTATGAAACTTCTGTACTGAGAAACTGGTGTGAATACCTGGTGTACGACTTCTGGGAGCTTTTCTGGATTTATCAAAATTGATATGGTGAAAGTGATGTACTATACAGGCATGACATAACATATAGGTCTATCCCAATTTCAAACATATGCCAACCTGCCCAACAGCATTTTTAAGACAGCGCCTCAGTTACAGGAATCGTGGGCGGATAAGTCACCTGTGAATCTCTGGTACATGTTCTTACAGAAAAAAACAACTGCTGTACTTTTTCTCTTGCACAGGTTTTACCATAGTCTTTCCCTCTTTCCACACTGTGAAGTATGAGTACCAGTTTGTCAACACTCTGATGACTTGGTCTGAAGCTCAACAGTACTGCAGACTATATTACGATGACCTGGCGACATTCACCAGCATGGAGGACATACAGAGAGTCAAGAGACCGAGTGAATACCTCCATGCTTGGATCGGACTCTTCAATGACACTGTCTCATGGAAAGGAATTATGGGTAATGAGTCCTATAAATGGTCCTTCACAGGAGCCACCAGCCCCGCATATCGGAGCTGGGAGACAGGTTGGCCAGACTTTGATACTGCAGAAACTTCATGTGTGATGACACAGAATGGACTGTGGTCCGGGACCAACTGTTCCCTTGCTATGCACACAGTTTGTTTCAGAGGTAAGAATACAATTATATTTTGCACAAGACCAAAGTAACATTAATTACTACAAAGATTATGACCAAAGATTAAAGTAGAAACGTAGATTGAGTTTCGAGAGCTTTGCCTTTCAACTCAGCTCCTTCTTCACCACAACTGTCCGATACAGAGACCGCATCACTGCAGACACATCTGATCTGCATTACTGCCTTTCTTTTCAAATCCCTGAGCCGGGTTGAAAGAGGGATTATATGGTCTACTGCACAAGGTTATTTATGAATATTTAAGACCTTTACAAAAGTAAGGGCATGGAGTTTTGTTTTTTTGTTTTTAACTAATGTTGGTTGGAAGTGAGGGATTAGGCTCTACTCCTACTGTGCACACTGCACTTACAAACATACTCTCTAAGGATCCACAATCTTATACGACTTTGGAACATAATGCTTTACTCAATTAATAGATTTTTTCCATTCAGTGCACCTATATGCAACTACCTTTTTAATCATAAAGACTTCTCCTTTTACTGAAGAAGGTAGATTCAATATAATAACTTTTAATTCTATTAATAATCTTATTATTGTGTTAAATACAGGTGCCCTGCAGCCAAGATCAAAAATATTCACTTGGGTTAAGTCTAATAAAGACTGGATTACTGCACTGCAGTACTGCAGAGAGCGATATCTAGACCTTGCCGTCATTGAAGATGAGTCTGAAGTCACCAGAATCTCAAACCTGATTGGTCAAACGTTGGCGTGGATCGGCCTGATCAAACAGCCCCTCAGATGGTCCGACAACACCATCAGCTCCTTCAGAAATTGGATCAACGGAGGAGTGGATAAGGAACAAAGCATTAAGTACTGTGTCATTGAGTCTTCAGCTACAGGGCATCACTGGTCTGGTGCACCATGTGAAGAGAAGCATCACGCAATCTGTGAACAAGGTAATTCTGTGTAGTACACACAGAAGTATTGACAATCAGATAACTATCAAGATAAAAACTAGTATTAAAGCTAGATAGTCATTTTAGCAGGCATCAATAATAATAATAATTAAAAAACAACAACAACAACAACAAAAAAACATTTACATGACAGAAATGAACCTTTCTTGAATAGTTTTAGAATGATCTTCAGCTGCATCAGTATCAGAGCCCACAGACTAGTATACGCCCATGGAACCACATGGTAATAGAAAAGAAAGTACTAGTATTTAATGTTGAAAATCACATTCTGTTGTCTATCAAGACTATATTCCTTTGTACAAAATCAAGTTTTTTCAAGTATAATGAAAGCACTAGTAGTACGTGTTTGCTCTATTTAATGTAAAAACTTTACATCCAGTTTGGAACCCCGGAATAACAGTGGTGAAGGTTGTACTTCAGACTGCTGCTGACCTGACCATTCCAGCGACTAATGCTCAAATCCCAGAGAAGGTACATTTTACTCACATTTTTGCTGTGCTATCTGAAATACTAATACTATCTGAAATATCTGGCAAATTATTTGTAACGAGGATAGATCTTTAGCTGAAAATCTTTTGATTGTGTTCATGTGCATGTGTGTATGTTTGATGCCTCTTAACCACCATTTTTAACCAAACCAAATTTACCCAAGGGTAGAACAGCCTTAACCTATTAAAGGCTTTGCATTTAATTGAATTTTGATTGCAATTTTGATTTGTGTATCAAACGATCTCCAATCTCATATAGACAAGTTGAAATAATTTAGGGTGCACTCATACCAGGACTTTTGAACCATGCCCACGCATGGATCACAGTATGTTTGTCCAGTGTGAGCACAATCAAACTGGGCCCAGGCACGGCACGGTTGAGACTTTGTCCTGGTTTCAGGAGGTGGGCTAAAGTATGGCCCGGTTGCTCTTGTACGCACACACGCTTGACTTTACTATAAGATCCCTGTGTGTGCGCTGATGTTAGTCATACAATAAAAACAGTGAATTAAGTCCACTCACCCACACACACACAGTGAATCTGTGCTTATCTTCAATAAGGACTGTGACAGTAACATAAGTTTTGCAGCGTCATCTCTGGCTTTTCCTCCCTGCTCCATACTGTTTTTTTAATCCATAAACTCACCGAGGAGCACGTTTCGCAGCAGGACTCATATCTCCCACACTATTAAATAGATATTTCCGCCGCTGGACTTATTTTCTCCACTAAAGCATTAGCTCTGCTGCGCTACATGTAAACAAACAGAGCCGTGTGATGACGTCCTCGCCCGTGGCCCGGTTTGGTTGTGCAGGTGTGAGTGTGATAAACAAATTTGTGGCCTATATTTATTTACAATTTGAAATTTTGCATAAATGATCAATAACCAAGTGTTTTTCTGAGAGGTAAATGCTGAATAAATGCATCGTGCAACTCATCGTTTGAATAATCATGATTTCAGTATTGACCAAAAAAGTTATGATAATTATATATATATATATATATATAATATATATATATATATATATATGTGTATATATATATATATATATGTGTGTATATATATATATATATATATATATATATATTAGGGCTCGGCAAAAATATTTTTTTTAATCGTGATTAATCGCATGAGTTCGAGCGATTAATCACGATTAATCGCATGTTATACGCAAAACCAATTAATGAATTAAAAAGTAGAGTATAGCGCTCTTTTATTGGAAATGTAAATGAAAGAGCCATACATTTGTTGTGCAAACAGCATTTCTTTCAGAGGGGAACCCTCAGAGTCTTCAAGGTGTTCAGGGAAGGCTCAAGAAAAAATACTGAATGGACGTTTGTACTACTAATATATTTATTGAATATTTTTTATGCTGTGAGTAATGAACACTACACTAGTAATAATTTCTAGATCAGTGTTATAAACTTGGACTGATATTTCTTAGGAAACAAAGGGTTAATATCATGGAATGGAAATGGACCAATCACATTTTTTCTTCCAATGGTATCTGGGTAAATCAGTTACTCCAGCACTGAACTAAAGAAGCAAGCTCAGCTCAGCACGGCTGGTCCGGCCAGAGCCGGAGCCCGTGGTTGAACCCGCGGCTGAGTCCGCGGCCTGAGCCGGAGCCCGCGGCCAGAGCCCGCGGCCGAACTCGCGGCCAGAGCCTCGACGGTAGTTGGAGCCTGCGGCCGAACCTGTGGCCAGGCCCGCGGCTCGCGGAGGCTCGGGCACGTTGCATCTCACGTGGTCAGAAAAAAGTGAAAAAAGTGTAAAGAAAAGACGTCAAACTTAAAGAAACGCTCGCGGTGAACTTTTTCAAAATAAAAGACGTTTACAATAAAATAAATAAATAAATAATACAAATTGCATTAACGGCGTTAAAATAATTGTCGGCGTTAATGACTTAATTAGTTAACGCAAAGTTAATGCATTAACGTGCCCGGCCCTAATATATATATATTTATATATAAAATCAACCAGCCCTACCTTAACCATAACACAAAAAAGACAAAATGTCCTAGGAATGTGTGAATTGGGATCTAGCATCTAGAATTAGCATCTTCTAATAGATCACTTACCAGGCTTGATTTTGTTTGACCATATACTATTTTAGTCAAATTATACTTTTGTCAGAACATAGCACAACAAGTAGAAAACATATTAAGCATTTGTTGCTGATACCACATCTTTAATAAACTACATGTCTTTGTTTCTTTTAGATCTTCACAATTTTCCAGGACCTTCGACATGCTATAAAAATCAGTTGGAAAATTTCACCTGTAAAACAAGTTAAGAAAGAAGAAACAACACTGGAATGCAAACTGAGCATTGACCCATGATAGAAATGCAAACACCACAATATATCTTCATAAATGTTTATAGATATACTAGGCTTTATTTGGTATTCAGAAATAAATAGTTGTTGTACATTTTGTTACCGTGAATTATAATATTGGTGCATTTTCAAATAAATGTGTGTGTGTACAAGGTTGTGAAGGGGACACGCGTGCTCCCACAAATTTTCACTTTATCTTCCTAAAACGGGGTATTACATGTCTATGGGGTATTAACTGCCTACCAGTGGAGGCAGGACGACGGCGCCATCTGCAGTCCGACTTCATCAGGACAATATCCCAGGTGTGTGAGAGTAAAAAAGCCCCCTCATCCCAGTTTATTATCCTATGTGCATGTTTCCGTATTTCGATTGCCTCTTTAACCCTTCCAGACCTAAGGGCAATTTTAGTGCATTTTTCCTCACCTATATTTTTGTTCTTAATTTTGCAACTAAAACTCCTCCTTTTACCCCCTAATGAAGTGTTATACATCCTTTTTTCAGTACAGTCTGTTATTTCATCATCTCCTTGCTGGAGTTGTGTCATGTGGCTGTAATAATAGCGACAGGACCAAAAATACAAAAAAAAAAACCTAAAAAACTTTTTGGACATTAAAAAATGTTTAGTTTACAGCCTTAGCTACAAAAGTGCAAAATATCAAGCCAACAAAAAAATATGCTCATTGCCCTCAAAAAAAAAAAAAAAAAAAAGGGCGCAATGGCCCCATGACTTATCTGGCTCCAGTCATGGAAACAGCTCGTGTCAGATCCAGGGCACAGAGCCACATCACTTCCTGCATTTCCATGGTGTTTATCACATTTGTATTTGTACATTTTGACTGATATAAACCTTTCAAATAAAAATAGCAAGGGATGCGCAATTACACAGACCAAGATGTGTAATTTGCCATTTATTTGAGAGATAACAGCATTTGGAGCTGATTTTTTAATTGCTACAAACACAGACGCTCAGAGCAACGACCATCTTGACTCACTACACTCTTTGGCAAAGTTTGGCCCAATTAAAGGTTGTATGGAGGATTTTTTTAGTTTCAAATTGTCAATGATAGCATTATAGAGGTGCAGTAGCCTTGTAATTATGATGACCAAAAAAAAGAGAATAAAAATTCATCAACTCTGGATGTGGTGGGGCCAGCTAAACATTTGCCAATAGATAACGACATTGCCTCGTTATCTGTTAGCTGACAGGCTGTCAATCAAACTCCCTACGTTTCTAGCGTAATTGACTTGCCTGCGCGCTGCCGTTACGTGGTTTGCGTACGCCTGTCACGCAGTCCACAGACGCAAGAAGCACAGACGCTGTTTACTCCACAAACGCAACAGTTCTTAGCAGCTTTTTTTGACCTATATCTTCCTCGCAGTTCGCACAAAGTTTGTTGCAATGGCAGACAAGAATCCAGGAGCAGTTAGCCGCAAAAGAAAGTCCGTTTTTGAGGTCGCTGAAAGAAGAAGACAAGGGGAAAAGCAGCGAAGCCAAACTAAGGTGATTCTTGAAGATTCATTCCAGCGATGGCGCAACTGAAGCAGACGCAGGGTCTAAAGACTGACGCACTTGGTCGCCAAATTACTCCTGGACAGGTAACTTCTGCTTATTATGAAAACGTACTTTATTTCCAAGAGCTAGACAAACGTTTTTCAGGACACGAAAGCGATATCCTATGTCTGAAAACGTAATTTTCAAGGCAAAGAAAGAGTCCGCTTGCTGCTGCATGTTGTAGCTAGTTCATTCGCACTGAATCTCCGCGCACCCTTCTTTGCACCCCTTTCCTGCTCCTCTCCCCGCTGCCCGTTCCGCTCTTCCTGCTGCTCCTCACTTCTCCGGGCACGGAATCTCCGCGCACCGCTCCCTCTCTCCTCTCTCCTCTCCCTGCTCCTCTCTCCCCGCTCCGCTCTTCTCCCTGCTCCTCATTTCTCGTCCGCGCATGAAATGTCCGCACACCCCCTCCCCCCACTCCTCACTTCTCTGCCTTGCCTAACCAACACTGTAGTTAGTTGTTTACAAGTCATGTGCAGCGCACCGGCTGTAAACAAACCTGTTTCTGGCGTAAGGAGGAGGCGGGAGGAGGCGTTTCTACGTAGGGAGCTGTAGGGGAGGGGGGGGGGGGGGGGGGTTTCACGCATGCGCAACATTTGAAAAAGGACAAACAGTC